CTGTGGCTTTGTAGTAGAGTCTGAAGTCAGGCAAGTTGATTCCTCCATTTCCATTCTTCTTTCTCAAGATTACTTTGGCTATTCGAGGTTTTTTGTATTTCCATACAAATTGTGAAATTATTTGTTCTAGTTCTGTGAAAAATACCGTTGGTAGTTTGATAGGGATTGCATTGAATCTATAGATTGCTTTGGGTAGGATAGCCATTTTGACAATATTGATTCTTCCAATCCATGAACACGGTATATTTCTCCATCTGTTTGTGTCCTCTTTGATTTCTTTCATCAGTGTTTTATAGTTTTCTATGTATAGGTCTTTTGTTTCTTTAGGTAGATATACCCCTAAGTATTTTATTCTTTTTGTTGCAGTGGTGAATGGTATTGTTTCCTTGATTTCTCTTTCTGTTTTCTCATTGTTAGTGTATAGGAATGCAAGAGATTTCTGTGTGTTAATTTTATATCCTGCAACTTTACTGTATTTGTTGATTAGCTCTAGTAACTTTCTGGTAGAGTCTTTAGGGTTTTCTATGTAGAGGATCATGTCATCTGCAAACAGAGAGAGTTTCACTTCTTCTTTTCCTATCTGGATTCCTTTTACTTCTTTTTCTGCCCTGATTGCTGTGGCCAACACTTCCAAAACTATGTTGAATAGTAGTGGGGAGAGTGGGCACCCTTGTCTTGTTCCTGATTTCAGGGGAAATGCTTTCAATTTTTCACCATTGAGGGTGATGCTTGCTGTGGGTTTGTCACATATAGCTTTTATTATGTTGAGGTATGTTCCTTCTATTCCTGCTTTCTGGAGAGTTTTAATCATAAATGAGTGTTGAATTTTGTCAAAGGCTTTCTCTGCATCTATTGAGATAATCATATGGTTTTTATCTTTCAATTTGTTAATGTGGTGTATTACATTGATTGATTTGCAGATATTAAAGAATCCTTGCATTCCTGGGATAAAGCCCACTTGGTCATGGTGTATGATTTTTTTAATATGTTGTTGGATTCTGTTTGCTAGAATTTTGTTAAGGATTTTTGCATCTATGTTCATCAGTGATATTGGCCTGTAGTTTTCTTTTTTTGTGGCATCTTTGTCTGGTTTTGGAATTAGGGTGATGGTGGCCTCATAGAATGAGTTTGGAAGTTTACCTTCTTCTGCAATTTTCTGGAATAGTTTGAGTAAGATAGGTGTTAGCTCTTCTCTAAATTTTTGGTAGAATTCAGCTGTGAAGCCATCTGGTCCTGGGCTTTTGTTTGCTGGAAGATTTCTGATTACAGTTTCGATTTCCTTGCTTGTGATTGGTTTGTTAAGATCTTCTATTTCTTCCTGGTTCAGTTTTGGAAAGTTATACTTCTCTAGGAACTTGTCCATTTCTTCCAAGTTGTCCATTTTATTGGCATAGAGCTGCTGGTAGTAGTCTCTTATGATCCTTTGTATTTCAGTGTTGTCTGTTGTGATCTCTCCATTTTCGTTTCTAATTTTGTTAATTTGGTTCTTCTCCCTTTGTTTCTTAATGAGTCTTGCTAATGGTTTGTCAATTTTGTTTATTTTTTTCAAAAAACCAGCTTTTAGCTTTGTTTATTTTTGCTATGGTCTCTTTAGTTTCTTTTGCATTTATTTCTGCCCTAATTTTTAAGATTTCTTTCCTTCTACTAACCCTGGGGTTCTTCATTTCTTCCTTCTCTAGTTGCTTTAGGTGTAGAGTTAGGTTATTTATTTGACTTTTTTCTTGTTTCTTGTTTCTTGATAGTTTCCCTTTCTTATAATGTCCTTATCTGTTTTTAGTATGCTGTGCTCATCAAGTGAATTAGGCAGAATTCCCTCTTTCTGGTCTTTGGAAGAGATTGTAGAGACGGTATAATTTCTTCCTCAAATGTTTGGTAGAATTCACCAGTGAATCCATCTTGGCAATTCTTTTTGTTCTGAATAATTGCTTATAGATTCTTTTGGGTGTTCTCTTAGAGAAAGCTTACAAATGACATATTTTTCCTTTCAATCCATAGACCTGTAGTCCATTTTCTTGTTTCATTGCCCTGGCTGAGACCTTCAGTATTTTGTTTAGCAGAACTGGTAATAGTGGCATCTCTGTTGTATTTCCTGATTTTGAAGGACAATGCTTCTAATATTTCTCCATTAAGAATGACATTTGGAAGCTTGCATCTGTGTCCATTAATGAACAGCCTGAAGTTTTTACTTTACCCCATCACTCTTATCTGGCTGATTGAGAATCTTATGTTGAGCTCCCAGAATGAACGAGGGAAAATGTTCCTTCCTCTTTCTATTCCCTAGAAGAGTTTGTATAAGATTAGAATGATTGTTCTTGGTGATTTAGTAGGCTTCACTTATAAATTGTCTAGACCTGGAGTTCTTTTTCTGGGCAAAGTTTGTTTTTTATGCATATCTTTAGTAGTTGTAGGACTATTCAGGTCCTTTATTCTTGAGGCAGTTTTGATAAGTTAATATTCTGAGTAATTTGTACATTTTGTCTAAGTTTCCAAATGTATGTGTTTTTCTTTTTTTCACTTTTTAATTTCTGCTAAAACTAGAGTCATACCACTCTTTTCATTGCTGATGTTATTTATTTGTTCCTTCATCCTTGGTACTAGTATCTCTTGCTGAGTGACAGTATTATGACAGACTTGGTCGGTCAAAGCAACACGTCTGTCACCTCACAGTTTCTGTGGGTCAGGAGTCTAGGCATGGCTGAGCCGGGGCCTCTGCTCTGGATTTTCCTAGGTGGCCATCAGGATGCTGGCAGCATGGGGGCCTCACCTGAGCCTCAACTGGGGTCTGCCCCAAATGCGTGCAGTTGTTGGCCTGTTTCCATCCCCCGTGGGTTGTTGGCCCCAGGCCCCATGTCCTTGCTGACTGCTGGCTGGAGCCACCCTTGAGTTCCTGCCATGTGGGCCTCTGTACAGTGGCTCCATGAGAACCAGCAAGGGTGGGTCCAGTAGCGCCAGGGAGTCCATCCACCAGTCAGGGGAAGCTGGAGGCAGTGACCATCAACTTGCAGGGTCAGCTGGCTACATGCAGGTTATGGGCCACCGCTCACAGATGACATGGGCTGAGTGCCTGGGGGCAAGTGAGCATTGTGGAGGGTAGGTCATCCTGAGGCTGTATGCGTACCTTCACCTCTAGCCTTTTCAGAGAACCCGGTCTTCTTCAGAAGTATCAGTTAGGCCTGTGATGGATCTTCTCTGCCCTCTGAATGTATCATTTTCTCTCTCACTTTATGTTTACTTAAAAACTTTTATTTGTGTGACTTAAACCTATCTGTGTCACTGACCCTGTTTTTGGTGATACTGATTCCCATTGTAGCTGCTTCTGTGGGCTTGTCCCTGAGGTTTTCTCTCCTTCATTTCCTCCTTTATCTGCCCCTTCGCTCTCCTCCTGTGACCTGTGATCGCTGCTCCTTCAGCCTTGTATCTCCTCTATGAATCACTTGTCTTTGTGTATTTTAAGGAAGATCATGCTTGTACTTATTTTATGTATTTTAAGGGAGACCATGCTCATATTGGGCACAATAAAGGACAGAAATGGTATGGACCTAACAGAAGCTGAAGATATTAAGAAGAGGTGGCTGGAGTACACAGAAGAACTATATAAAAAGATCCTAATGACCCAGAAAACCACAATGATGTGATCATTCAGCTAGAGCCAGACTTCCTAGAATGCAAAGTCAAGTGGGCCTTAGGAGGCATCACTACGAACAAAGCTAGTGGAGGTGATGGAATTCCAGCTGAGCTATTTCAAATCCTAAAAGATGATGCTGTGTAAGTGCTGCACTCAATATGCCAGCAAATTTGAAAAACTGAGCAGTGGACACAGGACTGGGAAAGGTCAGTTTTCATTCTAATCTCAAAGAAAGGCAATGCCAAAGAATGTTCAGACTACACAATTGCACTCATCTCACATGCTAACAAAGTAATGCTCAAAATTCTCCAAGCCAGGCTTCAATAGTACATGAACCATGAACTTCCAGATGTTCAAGCTGTATTTAGAAAAGGCAGAGGAACCAGAGATCAAATTGCCAACATTGTTGGATCATTGAAAAAGCAAGAGAGTTCCAGAAAATCATTTACTTCTGTTTTATTGACTATGCCAAAACCTTTGTGTAGATCACAACAAACTGAAAAATTCTTTAGGAGATGGGAATACCAGACCACCTTACCTGCCTCCTGAGAAATCTGTATGCAGGTCAAGAAGCAACAGTTAGAAACAGACATTGAACAATGGACTGGTTCCAAATTGGGAAGGGAGTATGTCAAGGCTGTATATTGTCAGCTTGCTCATTTAACTTATATGCAGAGTATCTCATGTGAAACGCTGGGCTCCAAAACCACTGCAGATGGTGACTGCAGCCATGGAATTAAAAGATGCTTGCTCCTTGAAAGAAAAGCCATGACCAACCTAGACAGCATATTAAAAAGCAGAGACATTACTTTGCTGACAAAGATCCATCTAGTCAAAGCTGTGGTTTTTCTAGTAGTCATGTATGGATGTGAGAGCTGAACCATAAAGAAAGCTGAGCACTGAGGAATTAATGCTTTTGAACTGTGGTGTTGGCGAATATTCTTAAGAGTCCCTTGGACTGCAAAGAGATCAAACCATTCAATCTTAAAGGAAATAAGTCCTGAATATTCATTGGAAGGACTGATGCTGAAGCTGAAGCTCCAATACTTTGGCCACTTGATGAGAAGAACTGACCTATTGGAAAAGACCCTGATGCTGGGAATGATTGAGGGCAGGAGAAGAAGGGGACGACAGAGGATGAGATGGTTGGATGGCATCACCGACTCGATGGACATGAGTTTGAGCAAGCTCCAGGAGTTGGTGATGGACAGGGAAGCCTGGCGTGCTGCAGTCCATGGGGTTGCAGAGTTGGACACGACTGAGCAACTGAACTGACTGATGTTCATACTTCTGAGGCGGTAGAGTGGGGGGTGAGGGTAGCAGATGCACTGCTGCTTTGCTGGAATGGATATCACAATGTCCCACTGTGTTGCAGGGAGACCCTCGAGCGGGGCTTGCAGTTCTGTCGGCAGAAGCAGAGGCCTGATGGCTCCTGGGAAGGGTGAGTGCTGCCTGTGGGTGCAGATGCCAGGGGCAGGGGTGGGAGGGGGGCACTGTGCTGCCCAGAAGTCTCTGGACATGCTCCTGAGCCATCCCCCACAGTCACTGCTCAGCATTTTGCTGGGCAGTGTAGCCAAGGGCGTTGGAAGTACTTGGTGGCCTGATGGCTCCTCACCCCCTTCCTCTGGGCTTGGATCTGGCTTGTGGAGCTGTCGGTGGAAGCCAGGTTGGGCAGGTCTGTCTCCGTGTTGAAGGCTTGAGGGTGTTTTTCTTGAAAACAGATAAAGCCCCTCCCTGCACTCCAGAGGGTGCTGGAGGTGTGCCTGCACCCTGCCGTGACTGAGAACTCAGGGACCAGACTGTTCCCCCTTGTCTTCCTCCAGCTCCTGGGGCGTGTGCTTCACGTACGGCACCTGGTTTGGGCTGGAAGCCTTCGCTTGCATGGGGCACACCTACCATAATGGGTGAGTGCAGGCATTTGTGCTGTGGTGGGAGGCCGTCTTCTCAGCATAATACTCTGCTGGGGGCTTTCTTCCTCTGATGTTTGACTTTGGGGTTGTTTTTACATGCTTTTAAACATTGAGATAAGATCAGTTTTCCAGAAAAATGTATGAGGTGCTGTGCCTCGCTGCTCTGCAGAGCCTTCTGGCTAGTGTGGGGCAGGAAGCCTTTGGCCCTCTGCCCTCCCCCAGCTCACCTACCCCACCCAAGTCCCACATCTGGGCTGGAGCAGGAGCAGCCACAGGCCAGGAGGTTGGCCAGGCTGGGTTGTGTCCCGTTCGGAAGCCCATCTGCAGCTGTCTGGTCATCTCTCAAAATCCTGTGATGCTGGTACCTCTGTCCCTTTCACCTCCGCTCTGGCGCGCTGAGTGCAGGGGGCCCACACCCCCCTCTCCGTTACCTGAGGAAGCCTGGCCAGGGTGAGGAGGGGCAGGGACCCTGCCCAGAGTGATGGCTCTGAGTCTTCTGTCTCTGCAGGGCTGCCTGTGCGGAGATCTCCAGGGCCTGTGACTTCCTGCTGTCCCGCCAGATGGCAGACGGAGGCTGGGGGGAGGACTTCGAGTCCTGCGAGCAGCGTCGCTATGTGCAGAGTGCCCGGTCCCAGATCCACAACACATGCTGGGCCCTGATGGGGCTGATGGCCGTCAGGTGGGGGCTTGAGGCCTCTCCCGGAGCCGCGGGGTCAGGCGGAGGAAGGACAGTGAGCCGGCAGCCAGGGTGGGCACAGCAGCAGAGGGAGGGGGAGGGGGAGGTCACCTTGATAGGTGACAGGTTCACACAGCCAGGTGGTGGTTCCTGCAAAAGGCCTCTGAACCAGGTCAGCCAGGGCACAGGGCTGCCAGGGCATGACTGTGTAGCAGCACCTGCAGCGGCTGTGTCACAAATGTAATCAGACATATGCACACATGACATGCACACACAGAGTCATGCACATGGACGTGTACGTGGTGCCCCAGTCTGTGCCCCCTGTTGGATTTGGGGCCATTGGGAAACCTCCCTAAACCCCTAAGAGGAAGGCCAAGGGTGTGGGCAGGGGCAGACAGGCTGCACCTTGACCTGAGCCATCGTGCCTCCTGGTGCCTCACCCAGCAGCGAGTGAGGTTAGGCCCCTGAGGACCAGTGGCCAGGTGGACAGGAGAGCACTGCTCATGGCAGGGACAGCTCGCTTGGCCACAGGTGGGCTGCCCTCCTGCCCCCTCGTCTCCATCCCAGTGGCATTCCCGCTTCTCGGGGTGTCTGGAGGACCGGCTGTTCCCAGCGGGCCTAGAGGTTCAGGGTGACCATCATCGGGCCGCATTTCTCATCCTTGTTCCTGTGCTTGGCTGCGTGAGCCTGAGGACCCAGCCGGAGGGGGTCTCATTCAGGGGGGCGGCGGGAGTGTTCAGTGCCCCTGTCTCCCAGGCACCCTGACGTGGCGGCCCTGGAGAGAGGAGTCACCTATCTGCTTGAAAAGCAGCTGCCCAACGGGGACTGGCCCCAGGTACGTGTGGCTCCCCCCACAACAGGGCCCAAGACCCCTCATGGCCTGTGGGCAGGGTTTCACCTGCAGGGTTTCACCTGCAGGGTTTGGGCGTCACAAACATCACCAGGGTTGGAAGCAGGTCTGTGACAGTGGCAGGTCCTAATGGCCTGGGCTGGTGGCAGGGCTGGTGGTATCAGGGAAGGGCTGGAGGAGAGAAGCTCACAGCCAAGACACCTTGGGCTGAACCGGTGGCCCCTTACTGAAAAGGAAGTGTGGGAGGGCATGGGGTCATGAGATCAGGGGAGACTGACCCCCCCTTCGGGTGAGTCCAGATGAGCCTGCAAGGGCTGGTGGCCCAGGCTGAGGTTTGCTTTAGCGCCTGGGGTCCTAGAGGTGGGGGGTGGTAAGCCCGCCAGCTGAGGTCAGGGTCTGGTTCAGGGAGCTGTCCTCCACCTAATGGAGCCGCTGTGTTAACCCCTGTGTCTTTTCAGGAGAACATCAGCGGGGTCTTCAACAAGTCCTGCGCCATCAGCTACACTAGCTACAGAAACGTCTTCCCCATCTGGACCCTCGGGCGCTTCTCCCGTCTGCACCCCGAGAGCGCCCTCGCTGGCCACCCTTGAGAGCACGCCTGCGGGTGCCTGGGCGGGTAGGGGTTGCTGGTCTCGCGAGTTCCAGGGGAGGTTGGGGCGGGGCGGGGCCTGCTGCGGGGGCGGGGCTTTCAGCTGGTGGAGCAATTTAGAGGAGCACGGGTGAGGGGAGCGACAGAGTGAACCTTGATGCTGGATACAGCGCATTGCGTTCATGGAACCGCCTGGAGCCTAGCTGTAGGCGGGGCTGGGAGCTTTCCTGACCAACCACCGAGATCGGGAGACCAGCGGCTAGCCTCGTACGCATCCTGCCGCGCGCTGTTGAGGGCCGGCTCTCCCTGCCTGTCTCTGGCTGGGAGAAGTGCTCGTCTCCCTATCACCCCAGCAGGAGAGGCTGGGCCTCGCTGTTCACCAAAGCCGGTTGGGCTATCCGGGATGGGGGACCAGACTCGGTGAGTGTCCGGGGCTGCTCAGAGGAGAGCCAGATGCTGCACCCTGGCCGCGCCCCAGGTCGCGGTTCAGCCAGCTTGTGGGGCGCCAGCATGGCTACCTCCAGAAGTTAGAGTTGTCTCCTAATGAGAAAAGCAGGAGCCTGAGCTAACACGGGGTGAGGGGTCGTGAGTGGCCCCACACGGGGACGACCCTCACGCCCCCTCTAGGGTGCTGCCTCTCAATTCTCCTCTGGCTTCTAAATGCCTCTGGTTTGGCGTGCATGCACTTCGGGCTCAGGTTGGAAAGTCTTAAGTCCTGGAGTTGCTTCTGACCTACAAGGATGGGCAGCTCACATGCGCAGGGTTCCTGGGAGTGTGGCTGTGAAGGTCATAGAGCTTTGATGAGGGCCAGAACCAGGCCTGGTGTCACCCTTGGGCCCCACCTCCTTCTCACCCACCCTAGGGCTGGAGGGACCCAGAGAGGTGCCACCTCCCCTTCTGATGGCAGCCCCAGCCACCCTCCCCCAGCCAACTGTTCTCCCTCAGACAGCCAGAGATGCCTGGATGCCCCCCTGCTCCACCATTCCTGCCGGGAACCCTGAAGGCCTCTCGGAGGTTTGCACCCTGTGGCCTTGCTCCCGCCGGTCCTGGGGCCCCCAGTGCAGTCCCTGACTTCTGTCTGGGGCTCGCCTGCAAGGAGCCTTTTCCTGAGCTGCCCCAGTCCCCCTCCCCCAACTACCCCAGGTGGTGGTCCTCCTGCTTCAAGCCTTGCAGGGCCTGGGCACAGGTAGGCAGGCAGGTACTGCTGCTCTACCAACCACCCCACTGGCACCTAGTAGTGTTTAGTTGTGCTGGTTGAATGTCAACACTCTGCAGGCACTTTTAAATGAATGTTTATGTTGCTGAAGGTGCTGTGCTGGATCCTTTGGGATCTGTCCAGTTTGCTCTTGTTCCAGCAGCAGACAGTGGTTTACCAGTTTGCTCCTGGCAGTAGCCACTGCCAGGCATGACCAGGTCCCTGGACAAAACACTCAGCTTCCCGAAAAGAAATGAACATCCACCTTTATACTGAAACATTATTGAAAGTCCACCTATCTCACCAGTTACCTTAATACCCAGACCCAGCCCCTAGGCAGAGGCACGTAGTGCTCTTGTCTTGTCCTGGAAGCAGTCATGGACTCGGGTCCTTCACGCCCCATGGTGGACACTGGACCACCGCCCCTGAGTCTCAGGGGAAAAGGAACTGCGCAAGATAAGCAGGAGGCACTCTAGTTATCTGAGGGAGAAGTACTTGCCTCAGCCTGATTAAAAATCAAGTTCTCTATCCTGGGTGAAGGACAGAGACCTAGGGGGGTCTTGATTCACACTGCTTTTCTTTTGGTTATCGGGAGCAAAATCTGAATGTTCACCAGGACATAAACCAGATCTGACCCTTTGAGGGATTCTCTAACCAAAAGTGCTTAACGCATAATAAAAATGTGCCTCCAAGAAAGTACTTTCTTTACTGAGCATAACCAATGTTGATACGTAGATCTGAATTTTTTCTGGTAATAAAAATGTTTAAAAACTGATGCCATCAACTGTGGCTTCCTCATTCTCTTAGCTCTCAGCAACTAATTATAGGTTGATTGGCTGGCTTGATTTAGTTTCATCTCTCCATCTGCAGTAAAAAGTTTTATTTATAACTCCCGTTGTTTAAAAAAAAAAAGTTAGACGCACAAGACAGTGGGACATGAAGGCCAGAAAGTCAAAGGGGACTGGGAGGGACGTTGCTTGACTTGCTTGGTGTTGTCAGCCTCCTAGCTCCTGGCTCAGCTTTCTCCTTACTTGTGGGGAGGGGGCATCTGGGTTCTTCTCTCTATAAGGCATCTGGGTTCCAGCAGGATCACAGGAACTATCCTTGGAAGTATCCGTGTTGGAAGCTGGAGACGCAGCTCTGGAGAGCTCTGGAAACTTCCTAGGGGCCCTGGGGCAGACGGTCTTGACATTGGTTGCGTTTTTCACTTGGAATTTCTGCTGCTGTTCTATAGGCCCTCATTTCTCACTCAGGGTTAGGGTGATACTGGTAACTTCAGAGTTACTTGTAGTCTTTTGTGAAAATGATTTACCCATTAGTTTCTATGAGCCTATTATTGGTACATGACTTGCAGGCTTCCTCATGGGAAAGTACCGCACGGGGGCTGTTTGAGACCCACATTGCCATCACTGCAGAGCGGCTGCTTTGGTGGCTTCAGGCAGACTCGGGTGCCTGCCCCACAGCCAGGATATTCTTGGGTACAGGACAGAGCAAGCCTTCAGCTCTGTGTTCCCTGACACCCCCCATTTCTCGGGAAGATGGAGGAGCAGGGCCTGCCCTCAGGTTATCCAGGAGTAGACAGGCACTGAAACGCCGTGAAGGTGGCCAGAAGACATAAAAAATTGAGCAGAGCTTCAGTGGCCTGTTGGATAATAGCAGTCCACCCTGTGTAATCTGAGTCCTAGGAAATGGGGAGGGAGGGCAGGAGTCAGGCAGTAAAATACTTAAGTAACTGTAGCTGAAACTTTCCCAAATATGATACATATAAGCTCACATTCATGAAGCTCAACCCACATGTAGCAGGATAATCACAGACCAAAAAGCCCAAGCAAAACCCACTTCAAGGCTCATGATAATCGATGATGAAAACTAAGGATGAATACAGCTTAAAAGCAAGCAAAACAGGCAAGTTAGGCTTCCCTGGTATCTTAGTGGTAAAGAATCTACCTGCCAATGCAGGAGACACAGGTTTGATCCTTGATATAGGAAGATCCTACATGTCGCAGAGCAACTGAGCCCATGCACCACAACTATTGATCCTATGCTCTAGAGCCCAGGAGCTGCAACTGCTGAAGCCCTTATTCTAGAGCCCGCAAGTCACACCCACTGAGCCCACATGCCCTAGAGCCCATGCTCCACAGTAAGGGAGGCCACCGCAGTGAGAAGCTCGTGCACTGCTGCAACTAGAGAGTAGCCCTGGCTCACCACAACTAGAGAAAAGCCCGAAAAGCAACAAAGACCCAGCACCAGCAAGAAAGAAAAACCAGGCATTTTATGTATCAGTGAGCGAAGACGAGAATGACAAATGACTTATTAGGAGGAGAGCAGAATGAAATGACTTCCTCAAAGTATCAAAAGGGGAAAAAACCCCTTAAATTCTGTATTCAAAGAAAAGAGAAATGAAAGCAGAGTAGACCTTTTCCAGATGAACCAGTGCTGAAAGAATTGTCCAGCAGCCTTGCCTTTGAGAAATGTTAGGTTGTTTGGTGCAGGAAAGAGATGCTGGATGGAAACTGATCTCCAGAGAATGAAAAGCACCAGGTGGTGTGTGGTAAGGATAGAAGACCTCCCCCCTTTGTCTAAAAGATTTTTTCTTTAAAATTAACTTTTAAAATAAGAAACAATAATGGTGTTTTTGACATAAGAAGTAAAACATATGACAACAATAACAGGATGTTAAAGGTGGATGGAGGTTCCCACCTGTATATGAAGTGGTTTATTGCTTAAGGGTAGACTGTGATGAGCAAAAGAAACCTGCTGTCAACCCCATAGTAAGCCACTGAAAAAGAAAGAGGTACAGCTAGTAAACTAAGAAAGTAGGTAAAACAACCCAAAAGAAGATGAGAGAAAAAGAACAGATGGGACAAATAGAAAACAAATAAGATAATAGGCTTAAACCCAACTCTTATGTACTGAATTGCGGCCCTCTCTGTTCATATGATAGGCTTCTCAGGGAGCACTAGTGGCAAAGAATCTGCCTGCCAATGTGGAAGATACAAGGTTCCGGTTTGATCCCTGGGTCGGGAAGATCCCGTGGTGTGGAAAATGGCACACCCCTCCAGTATCCTTGCCTGTAAAATTGCATGGGCAGAGAAGCCTGGTGGGTTACAGTGCATGGTTGCAGGAGTCAACACGACTAAGAGACTGAGCCCAGGAGCATTCATATGATGCTGCACCTGGAGATGGGGCCTTTAAGAAGATAAGGTTAAATACGGTTGTAAGGGTGAGCCCCTGATTCAGAAGGACTGGTGTCCTTGAGAGAGAGAGACACCAAGAGCACACGCTGAGGAAAGACCACATGAGGACCCAGGTAGGCAGTTGTCTGCATGCAGTTGCCGTAGGAGGGTCCAGCCCTACTAATACCCTTGTCTTGGACCTCTAGCTTCCAGAACCCTGAGAAAATTAATTTCTGTTGTTTAAGTCACCCAGTCTGGGGTGTTTTGTTATGGCAGCCCCCAAACACTAGTAAGACATACATCACCAATTCGAATAATTGTACTAAATGTAAAGGGCTAGACATTCTGGTTAAAAGGCAGGGACTGTCATGTTGGATGAAAAGCATGACACATCTATGTTGTCCATTAGAAATTTCTATTTTTTTTGTAAGATTTATTTATTTGGCTTCATCGGATCTTAGTTGTGGCATGCGGGTTCTTTGTTGCTCCTGGAAGCCTCAGTAGTTGCAGCACATGGGCTCTCTAGTTTGTAGTGTGTGGGCTTAGCTGCTCTGTGGCATGTGAGATCGTAGTTACCGGGATTGAACCCATGTCCACTGCATTGTAAGGTGGATTCTTAACCACTGAACCATCAGGGAAGTCTCCATAAGAAAGTTTTAGTATAAAGATACAGGATAAAGGTGAAAGTTCAGGAAAAATGTGTAATGAAATCACAAATAAGAAAAAGTGCTTGGTTTCAGTGTAGGTATGGAGGCTTTTGGACGGTCTTTTATTACTTAAAGTTCCATGTAGTCAGGAGTTTTCTGGTGTTCTCAGGTTTTGGGCTTAAGTCTCCTGCCTCTGGATTTCAGTTTTATTCTTCCAGTAGTCTCAAGACTTCTCCAACTATACAGCACTGATAATAAAACTTCTAGGTTAATGGTGAAAAGATTCTCCCCCGTGAGGGACACCCAGAGAGGTTCACAGAGTTACATGAAGAAGAGGAGAGGGAGGAGGGAGATAGAGGTGAGCAGGAGGAGAAAAAGGGGACTCAAGAGGAGAGAGACAGATCTACGCAGGACTCTGTTCCCTAAGTGTTCTCCGTAGCCCAGACACCCACAGAGATTCACAGAATTGGATTGGGAAGGGAAGGGGGAGGGAGGAAATAGAGGTGATCTGAGGGAGAAAACAGAGAGTCAACAATGGGAGAGAATAATCAACACACTGCTGAGTAAAAATGGGAACTGAATATTGGATTCTTAAATGTCCACAATTTATATCATATACTGAAAAACAAAGATTAAAAATCTAGAGGAGAGGTTAGACTCTTAAAAATACAATATTAAAAACAAAAACCAAAACACACACACACAAAATTTTAGAAATATATATGAAGTTCAGTTTAAAAATAGGGCTTCTCTTTTTATTTGTAAGGTTATAGTGTAATGAAAATGAAAATTAAGGAGTAGTAGAGGAGTAATAGAGGACTTTAAAAGGAAATAAGAGAAAAGAAAAATAGAAAATAGAAGAGAAAAAGAAAAAACAAAACAAGAAAAAAAATTTTCCTAATTAAAAAAATCATAAAAATCTTTGAAAATGAAAGTTAAGGAGTAATGGGGGAGTAATAGGGAATTTTAAAAGAAAATAAAAGAGAAAAAAGAAAAAAGAAAAAAAAATTTTTTTTTTTTTACTAAAAAAAAAACAAAAGTAAAAATATATCTAGGAATTTCTCTGGAGCTGTTGCGGTCAGTGTGGGTTCGGTTCAGTTTCAGATAGCTCCTTGTTCCAGCTTATACTTCTCGATATCTACAGGCCCCTTCCTGTGTAGTCGGTGTTCTCTAAAGCTGGTTTTTTGAAAAAAAATAAACAAAATTGACAAACCATTAGCAAGACTCATTAAGAAACAAA